CTACTATAAATAACTGCACACACTTCTTACCTGTGGCGTGAATGAGACAGAATTAATTCTTTTCTTTCCTAAACTTGACTGTGTCCTAGAAGTTTCAATGTATTTTAAATTAAATGTAGATTGACTTTGTATCTAAATCCTGCTGGCTGTCTTCCCATTTCATCTCCTGCTTTGGCGGAGTCGTAGGGATGGTGTAAACACCAAGGTCATCCTCAAAGAGAAACTTAGTGGAGCAGCTGCCAACCAGCCTTTACCCTATGACATTATTACCTTTCTACCTTCCTTTCACCCATACCCCTCAAAGTTTATGATGGTGAAACTTGATGAGCATCGGAGAACAAGCTGTCTTTGAAGTAGGTAAATTATAGACAGATTACAGGATTCAATTAGACAGGAGGAGGAGATGTTCAAGGGCAGACTCTCAGTTCCATTGCATAATACTCGCTTGGTTGAAGGCACTGGAATATATCAGGTACATGGGCACAGCTCCTAATCACAAAAGGATCTAGGTCCACAAAGACAGGATTGGTAAGCCAAGAAATGTCTAGCATGACTCCTGCAGAAATGATCAGTAGTTTAGCAGATGGAGAGGAAATGTGTGCAGGTGAGAAGAAGAGTAATACTTACCATTTGTTGAATATTTACTAGAAGCCATGTGTTTTACAAAAAGTTTTTCATTCAATCATTCCCAAAACTGTCCATAGATGCTATTATTATTATCATTGTGATTAGGAGGAAACAAAGCAGGTGAAGTGCTTTTGTCTCATAGGATTCAACTAATATATGGCAGTGTCTGGATTCAAACTCAGATCTTTTTTACCGTAGATCATGTACTGTTGATTACTGTTCTGCCTCCCCAAGGAGGTACTCAACAATAGTGAGTTAAGAGTTTAAGATAGGGCCACATGCTGGGTGCTGATGGCTCATACTTGTAATCCTATCTACTCAAGAGGCTGAGATCTGAGAACTATAGTTCAAAGACAGCTCAAGTAGGAAAGCTCACGAGACTCTTATTTCCAATTAAGCACCAGAAAACCAGAAGTGGAGCTGTGGATCAAAGTGGTAAAGCACTAGCCTTGTGCACAAGAGCTTAGAGACAGTGCCCAGGCCCTGAGTTCAAGTTCCATGACTGACAAAAAGAACAAAACAAACAAAAAACAGAGTTTAAGGTAAGATTTATGTGGAATGTCAAAGACTGAGTAAGGCTCATAGGAAAAACAAGAAGACATATATTGTAACAAATGAAATAGTCTTATTTACTGGGTGCTGGTGGCTCAGACCTGTAATCCTAATTCCTCAGGAGGCTGAGATCTGAAGGTCACTATTCAAGGCCAACCCAGACAGACAAATCCAAGAGACTCTTTTTTTTGAGGGGGGGTGGTCCAGTCATGGGCCCTGAACTCTGGGCCTGGGTGCTGTCCCTCAGCTACTTCAGCTCCAGGCTAGCATTCTACCACTTGAGCCACAATGCCACTTCCAGCTTTTTTTCTTTTTGCTTATGTGGTACTGAGGAATTGAACTCAGGGCCTCAGGCATACAAGGCAAGCGCTCTGCCACTGAACCACCTTCCCAGCCCCCAAGAGACTCATCTCCAATTAATGGAGAAAATCCAGAAGTGGAGCTATGGTTTAGGTGGTAGAGTGCCAGTCTTGAGCAAAAAAAAAGCCAAGAAAGAACTTGAGGCCCTAAGTACAAGACTCAGTACTGGCACAAAAAAAAATAGAAAAAGAAAGAAAAGTCTCAGCAAAATTGGAGATTTTGAAAAGTCCTGAGATTGTGTGTTGGCAGTGGAATGCCCCTTACACCAATGAATGAACAGCACAGGGTACTTGTAGCAAAGGATGAATAACTAGGGAAATAATTTCATATGGAAATATTGAGTATACCTGTGAACTCAATGTGGCAGCATACCTGTGAAAATTCCTTAGTAAATCTGTGCGCAGTCCTGAAGTTCAATGTGATGAATTTTTGCAAAACTGTGTGCATATTACAGAGAGGAATAGTGAGATCTATCTCACAGAGCTGAGTTCAGCTAATTAAAAAGTTGTATTATAGAGCAGTGGATCTTCAACTTGAGCATCCAGCAGAATCCCATGAGAAGCTTATTAAAGTGCAGATTGCTGGGTACCATTCCTGAGAACTGAATTAAGTAGCTTTGAGGTATGGCTCCAGAATTTGGATTTCTAACTAGCTTCTGGGTGATGCAGATGCAGCCACTTTATGACTACTCTGGGACTGGCAGAGTGGTGTGACTCAGCTTTGAATACAAGGTGAAGGCATTTGCCCTTGAATTTTACCATTTTTACATTCCTACAACCTATGTCACATGTTTTTACTGTCATCAGCTTTGTCTTCCCCACACTGTTTGGTTGAAGGCCTTACCTTCAGCCAGAATAATCTCTTAAAAACACTAAGTCTGTAGCTCAAGATTCAGCTCAATAGAACAATTGCATAACAAGCTCAAGGCCCTGGGTTCCATCCCTAGCACTAAAAAAAAATCTGAATAGGTCAATATCAGTGGCTCCTTTTGTCTTTGTGTGATTATGAATGCTGTCCTAGGTCTTTAATTCCCAAGTAGTCTCCTTTATGGGTAACCTTGAAACCTCCAGAACAAGTCACCTGGCCTCTTATCTACATCTGGAATTATATCTGGAAAATTGGTCTTCTCAGGTCCACCTATCCTCATGTGGTTGAATTCATTTTCTATTTTGGATATTATCCTCAAAATCAAGTCTAATGGAAGCCCTTAGACTTTGGCCAATGGCAATGTCCCTCAAGAACCCTTGTAGAGCACTCTTGAATAGGGTACAAATGGCCTAGTATAATAACTGAGCTGTCCAGTAAACTAGAAGCTCCTTGAAAGTAAACACATTCTTGGCACTCAGTACATGAAGAAATAATTTAATAAATTGTCATTGAACTTGTGTTACTATGGACCTGGCAAGAATTAACCATCTTTTCCTGGGGTAAAAGATAGGTTATGTGCTTTCTTTGACCTACTATAGGAAAAAATTTCTCACAAATAGCACAAAGAAATGACAACATGCCATTCACAATCCAGAAGAAGCTGTTTCTGTTTTAGAATTTTTCCATCTGGGCATTGCAAACCACAAAAGCAACTTTTTGCTTTCACAATGAACATATTCTTTAACAGCACACTTTCCCAAAAGGACACTCCTCCCTTCATTGCATTTTGATCTATCCTGATGTAATTTAAAGTTTGAAGATAGGGTCTGACCTTATCTATCACTGACTGAGCCGTTGCCTCATGAAAATGCAGTTTGAAACTCATTAATAGGGTAGCCTGTACATTATAACTTCGAAGCTCTGGGTTATCACTGATGCTTGCAATTGCTATGGAAACCGGGTTCATATGCACCTTTCAAAGAGCCTACTTTAAAACAGGGGGAAAAAGATGAAGAAAAGGAAGGCTCCTTGGAAGAATGAGCTATTTAGTACCCAGCATGCATAGGCAGGCTCAGTGATGCAAAAATGCTCTGCCTACACAATGATAAAAACAAATCTTTGTATTTTTCAGGAGCTAATAATGTATAACCTTATATTAGAGAATTGTGTTTATGCTGGTAGGAAAGAATGCCTGAGGCAATCATCCCCCCTCCCACCGTGCCCACACATAGACTCACTAACACAGACACTCAAACAAGATGTGCATCCAGAATTTTTAGTATCCCCAAGGTTTTTGCAGCCTGCATTCCTAAGTTCTCTAAAGGCTTTTGCACACTGTAGCTTCAGGGTAAGGCTCAACCAATGTGGGCACTGGTGGAGAATTCAGTATTTTCTACATCCTGTTGCGTATGCACTGGATTTTCCAGTTATAACATGGTAGTGCTACTTTGGTTATTGTGTAAACAATTTTAGGTTGCATTATTTGCTAAATTTTGGATTTTTCCATCCTTCTTCCCTCAACCCACATTTCTTCCTAATCATTGAAGTATTAAATTGGGGAAACAATAGTGTGAACACAAACTGTTAGAAAATTATTCTTCTAGTTGTCACTGCAATATGTTAACTCTTTCAATGTCCTCATCTCTCTGTTTACCTCCCATGTGTGGGATCAATAGTTTTCCCTTTATCTCTTCTGCACCTTCCCGCAAGTCTAGCCAAGGATAAGATGCATCTCTTCTGAGCAGGAACAAGTCATTACACTGAGCTCCCTCTGTCTTCACCTTCAGACAGAAGGAAATTCTACCAGCCCCCACCTTGAAAACTAACACCCACTCTGTAGACATGTAAAAACCATGTGTTCACATTCAAAAAGATTTGTGACCCTCAACTGGAACTCTTGCCCTTTTTTAATATAGAGATCTTCTTCCCTAGGATGCCTTCATAAATACCATTTCAATGTCAAACAACAATCTCCACTTCCTACTACCCACTTCTCCTCCCCCCAACCTCTCCATCAACTTCCTCCTTTTCTCTATCTCTCTTCCTCTACCACCATCTCTCCTTGCCCCATTTCCAACCATCCATCCTTTTCCTACCACTCTCCTTGCCCATCCTTCTCACCATCTCCCCTCCGTCATACCTCCCCCATCATTCCTTTCCCATACCCTTTTCACCAGCTCCCTCTTCCTCCTCTCCATGTCTTCCTCCAACACCTCTCCTCCTCCCCTCCTACCAACTTCCCTTCCACTGCTTCCTGCATCCCACCTCCCTTTTGCTCTTCCACCTTTCACTTATTTTCCCATCACCACAACCCACATCCCTCTTCTTTCCCTAGCATAAGCAACTTCTGCAAAGGAAAGAATTAAGCACAAGCACATCAGTCTTGAGATTCTCTAAGATGACCATTTATTTTTTGAAGGACAATAACAAGTACACCTAAGTACTTTGGTACTTAAAGCACAAAACCTAAAGAAGAGGCAGGATGTTGGTAATGAGTTTGTGGTGATGGCAGCAAACGCAGGTGTTATGTAGGCGTTGGATGACTTGATGGGCAGTTCATTATTTTGGGAGCTTCTTCTATAGTAGTATTTTCATCATGAAGTGGTGGTAGAGTGTTGTTTTCCATCTTCCTCAACTTCAGCTTGAAGCTCCTCCAGAATCAGTTGTCTTGCTAACTGTATGTTAAATCCTTCGCTGCAGTTAAGTTTTCTTCTCATCTCGAACTGCCGCTGTCTCTCTACTTTGGTCAAGAGGTGTTTGTTGGAATGTGCTCGGCTGTTCTCAGAGTCTTTCCTCTGATGGCGGGTCCCAAATGTTTTCATGGCGGCTAGTTTTTCTGCTAACTTGTCCGGAGTCAAGGCTTCCTTTCCATCTGGTTTGATTAGATCTTCCCCGTCATCTTGCATCTCTAGATAAGGATTCACTGGCTCGTTCACTTTCTTTAAGTTGTAGTCACAGTAAGATGTTGACAAGATGCTGGCCTCATCCCACTTCTGGGATTTTTTGCATTGTCCTTCCTTGGCATTTTTCTCTCCGTGTTGCTGAACTGGAGCCTCCATTGAAGAAACTGATGATACCTTATTCTTCAGAATCCCCTTGATGGGCCTATGGGAACCAGAGGAGGCTGACATGTCTGAGAAGCCAGGGGCCGCACTAGGATTGGGCAGCGAAGCAGATGACAAAGATCCGGCTGCAGAGCAGCTGCTTGCTGCGCTCCGGCCAGAAGCAAGGGCTGTTAAGTCTGAACCACAAACTGCCAACTGCCTGCTGATGACACCAGGCACCCAGTGTCGTCACAAAGGATCACGTGCCCTGCACTGCAAAGGGCTTTTCCTAGGTCACTGCTATTATGACCACCGCCTCAAAGCCCACTCTGGTGGCCATTTTCTTCCTTTGTAACAAAATAAGCTAGGAAGCATCTATTCGTAGCAAATCCAAAGAAGGGGAAGCATTGTTCTGTATCTTCTCTATGCCTAGTCAGCATAAAGGAAAGCTAAGACGCTATATACAACGTACTTTTTATATACGTATGTGCTAGCCCTAGACCTTGAACTCAGGGGCCTGGGCACTGTGCCTGAGATATGTGTGTGTGTGTGTGTACGTGTGTGTGTGTGCGCGCATGCACGCGCACGCGCATGCGTGCACTAGTACTCGAGCTTGAACTCAGGGCCTGGTAACTGTCCCTGAGCTACCACTCTACCATTTGAGCCACAGCTCCACTTCTGGGTTTTAGAGGCTAATTAGAGATAAAAAAAATCTTGTAGACTTTCCTGCCTGGGCTGGCTTTGAACTGTAATACTCAGATCTGAGCCTCCTGAGTAACTAGAACTACAGGTATGGTCTAACAACACCCGGCTATAAATGTATACCCAAAAAAGAAAGCATGAAAGGTACTGTCTCACAGAATGCCCCCTCCCCCAGCAGCACTTGAATTAACTAGGAACCTGGATGGGGTTCTCAGATTATTCACAGTATTCATTCCAACCTACCCCTCTGGTGCTGGCCTTCACATTTAAAGAAACTCTCACCTTATTTCAAGTAACCATCATTTCTTGTGCTGACTATAACCAAAACCTTTGAACTGGGCCCTCCCTATGTATACAAATACAAAAACACACATGTATATGTGTTTATATTTGTATATTTATATATACATATATATGCATATTTATATATGTCCTAGACTGTAAACTCTTTCCTCGTTTGGTTTTTAACTGGGAGTTACAACTTTCTAATTAATTCTACTTCTCCCATAGTAACTTCTCAATTGTCTGAAACTTTACTTCTCAAAATCCATGCTAACTAAATGTTGGTCAACCCTTAGTTCTACCTTTCTTGCAGGTATGATTTTGCTGAGCTAGAATAATTTGTAACTTTACTCATCTGTGAGAACCTGAGCTCTTCTAAGTAGTTCATCTTAGTTTCCCTTCTCATAACTTCAATTCCTCCTTTTACTCTTACTACCTCCAGTCTTCCTTTCAGTTCCCATTAGTCCTTTCCAATGTTCCCTTTCTTATCTGCTCCAACCGTCTAACTACCCCTGCCAGATCTCATCTTTTCCACTTCAGTTCTTCAGCTCCCTCAGTCACTTCAATTTTAGGTCCCTGGCACCGTTAAGGACTCTCAAGAGACTCAGAAACCCTTGAGAGCAACCATCTAAAGGAGAGAAAAGGCCAATTGGAAACAGGATGTTTTATTTCCTCAAATGGACTTTGGAGACATCCAGACATCTACTTGATGCCCTGGCAGTCTCTTTAGATGAAAACTTGTGTAAGATTACACAACAGAGCAAAAGAAAAATTTAGAGGCTTTGCCCACAAAAATTGGTTCCAAGTAGTAACAATTTGTCCCTTTTTTTTTGGTTAGAAACATAGTTCATGATACGTATAAAAAACATAGGTCCCATGATTTCCCTTATTTACAATATCTAGTATATGTATGAGTCAAGCAGAAAAGGTCAGATAAGGTGAAGTTAGGAAAATGAACCCTAAGATATGTATTTTAAATGTTTTTTTCTTTCATGCATTTGTTTCTAATGCAATTATAAGATTATTTCTTTGTTGCTTTGTATGTCCCTCCCCCACAGTATAACCCTTGCTTTCACTGTATTTGATCTCGGTATAATTTGTGGAGGGGAAGGGGCAAAACAAGTTGTTTAAATAAGGATACAGGTGGACCTGTTGCAACAATGAGAAGTACAAGTTGTCATGTCAAAAACGAACTTTACAACTTGGGAGGGGGGGGCTTGGTTGGGGGGGAGGGAGGATGGGAAGGGATGGGAAGGGTAAACAAAGGAGGAGGCTACAATGCTTGATGAGAAATGTACTCACTATCTTGCCCATGTAATTGTAACCCCTCTGTACAGTATGTTCACAATAAAAAAAAAGAAAAAAAAGAAACCTAAAAAAAAGTGGAGATAAACCAGTGAGTTTTATAATACTGTGTTGCCTGATTTGTGGCCAAAATTCTAGAATTAAAATTATAAGATTTATGTTTGCATCTATGTGTTTGTATATATATGTACATATAAATGTATATATATCTTACGTATTTCATATTTCTCTCTCACTGGATGGTATTACCAAGTTAATTTATAAAATCTATTAAAGATGGTCTACTCAAATTTGTATAGAGATAAATAAAACTAATATATATTTTTTAATCTTTCAGAAAGAGAGGAACTAATGCAAATGCTTTTGAATTTCACATGACTTGGGTGAGTCTTCAGGAAATTAGATTGACAGTAGTTCAGTTTAATAAAACGGAAAATGCCTTTTGTCTTATTAGCATTAAGTAGAATAGGAGTATATGTTTTATTCTACCTGTTTACTAGTATCTCTGCCAAATATTCAAAATTATAAAAATTACAAAAAAATTAAGAACAAATGTACAAGTAATAATGTAGTAATCACTGTAGCTAATTATTTATGTATAGCAAGTATAACAGTTAAACAAAATCTCATACACTTAAATTTTTTAGGTTTGGCTTTTGTGAGGCTTGCCTGATATCACAAGGCTGCAAGCCTAGCTAATGACCATCTAGGTATGGTGGCATATGCTTGTAATTCCAATGCTTGGAAGGCTGAGGCAAAAGGATGGCAATTTTAAGGCCAGTCTGAGCCACACAGTAAGATCCTGTTAAACACACACACACACACACACACACACACACACACACACACACACACACACACACACGCACCACCCAAACAAACAAATGCTATTAGGGAAATAACTTCACATGATATGTAGTCTTGTTTGATATTATGATATGCCTGCTTAAAAAGAATTTCCAAGCTGAGCCAGTGACTGAGTTTGTAATCGTAGCTACTCAGGAGGCTGAGATCTGAAGATTGAAGTTTGAGGATAAGGTTCCAATCTATCCTGGACATGAGATTTTATCTTCCATTATCCCCTCCATAAGCCAGAAGTAAAACTGTGGCTCAAGCAGTAAAGTTCTGTCCTTGAATGGAAAAAACCCAGGGACAGTACCAGGACCAGAGTTCAAGCTCCAAGACCAGCAAATGCACATAAACGTTTCCCAATTTTTTATAGTGTGAAACCTTCAAGTTCCACTGAGTTAAAAGAAGTAATAGACATTTAGAACATATCCCAATCACTTCTAAGTAAGACAAACTACTAAGCACTAATTACTAAACTTAAGTTTAAGTTTATATAGTTTTTCTTGATAAAATGTATAGAAAAAATAAATATATACGTGAACCTATTAGTAAACATAGCAAAATGTTTTATAAGGAAATAGTATGTACCAATAAGTAAGATGATATATTCATAAATTTTACTAGTCTGCTTACATTGAATATAGATATCTCCAACACACACCACAACTATCTACTTCCTAGTTTTCTCTGTAAAGGAAGGGTTATTGATAGCTTAAATTTCTTATCAAAATATGACATTAAAGTGGGCACTGGTGGCTCATGCCTGCAATACAATCTACACAGGAGGCTGAGGTCTCAGGAATGTGATTTGAAGCCAGCCCAAGCATAAAAGTCCATGAGACTCATATCTCCAATAAACTACCAAAAAAAAAAAACCAGAAGTGCTAGTCTTGAGCAAAAGAAGCTCAGGGACAATGCCCAGGCCATGAGTTCAAACCCCAGGACTGGTACCAAAGGAAAAAATATGGCATTAAATTACTAGAAATAATAAAGGTAATGGGAAATAACTTTGTAAAATTTGAAAGGAAACTAAGGTATGTTTTTAGTAAGGAAACATATATGAGTTATGGAGAATATGTTTTCATTAAGGGGAAAAGACAGTTATTTTAGCCTAAAATAAAATGACTTTGGTTTTTCCCCAATAAGAGAAAGAGGAATAGGTTGAACACTGAATGGATATAAGGAAAATGCAGAAGGTTTGTAGCGAAGGTGTTTTATGTTTGATCAAGCTACTAAGATTGGACAGACTTTTTTCATTTCCAAATGTTTATTTTATCAGATTATCTGAACATTAAATTTATCTTCATTTGCAAGCCATAGTTACCTGAAGTTTACTGTTGTTTTTTTTTCATGTGTGTGTATTCACTTTTATTGTACATTTGTTTTCTAAAAGTCTGGTATAATTTTCTGGAAAAGTTCAAATTGCCACAATACAGGGAGAGAGCTTTGTTTTTGTGCTGCCAATTTTTGAGAATTTAAATCTGGGTTTGGGTTGTGATAAGTATTTCATCTGTGAAGTCTGTATTTGTAACAATATCTTTATTTGTAACGATTGTACTTTTATTTTTCTATATTCTCTATCTTCAGAATTTTTGTTCTTTCCCACTTCTACATTCCCTAGATTAAGCCAAAACAAAACAAATGCACAAAACATGTATATATTTGGTTGGTCATGGGGCCTGAACTCTGGGCCTGGGCGCTGTCCCTCAGCTCTTCATCTACCACTTGAGCCACAGTGCCACTTCCGGTTTTCTGGTGGTTTATTGGAGATTTATAAGATGATTTCTTTGTTACTTTGTATGTCCCTCCCCCACGGTATAACCCCTGCTTTCACTGTTTTTAATGTTAGTATAATTTGTGGAGGGGAAGGGAAAAAACAAATCGTTTAAATCGGGATACAGGTGGACCCACTGCAACAATGAGATGTACAAGTCGTTATGTCGGAAAAA